CCGGAGGACACGTGTGAAAAAATAATAAACTGCCACATTTTGTGTTGTCACATTATTTAAATTTATCAAGCAAAACAAAAAACTGCCACATTTCTAATTTATTGTGGCGTGTAAAATATTTGGTTTGAAATGGTAACTGTTACAAAATGTGACTATTATTTTACTAATTGTATAATAATACGTCACAGATGAACCATCAAGTTAAGGTTTTGTAAACAATTGCCCGTACCTAACTCCTTAATAAAAAAAGAGGGTAACACGTCCTCGTAAAAAAAATTCACAATATTCGTTATGACAGTTCGTTGCTATTATCTCTCGTATCGCGATTACAAGCTCGGGGCTCGATACAACTTTTTGCCAGCTGTATGTCATACTGAAGTCGCGTTATGTAAATAAAACGCCTTCGCGGAGAAAACGTGTTCCGGATGGCTCGAGATGAACAACTCGTACTATCCTATCCGCATTATGGACCGACCGGAGAATGGCCACGGCTTCGAAAATATACGATCCGAACACTTCAGTAAGGGTTGACGAAACAAACCAACTCCTTGGAAATCACTACAAACGGAATTCGTCGAAACCGCTGGAAATCAAAGAACGCGGCAGTCCCTGACACTAGAATAGCCACTAAAGAAAACGCGTACACCAAACTTAAGCGAGCGCATCAGTTTTTGAGCTGCAAGTATGCTTTCAATAGCTGGAACGTTTCAGAGGCTTTTGCAAAGTCAGCATCGCACGGGACGACCGAAACGTGATGAGTTGGGCTCCGAAAATCGAAAAAGATATTGCGGAAATTGCACAATCCTCGGACGAGTCTTATCGACAATTTTGTTTTTCGACGTTTGGGTTTGATGCTAATTATGATTCCGGCAACGGAAAGGACGACACGATCGACGACAAAGGAGCATTTTTCAAAGGAAGAATTGAATTTGCTGTATTTGAGCATAAAGATATTCGTAATGTATTTCAGACCTTATAAATCTTTACACGTACGAACGAAATTGTAAAAATTATGATATTTATAATTGAATATTGAAAATATATTTTTATTTAAATAAAAGCATGATTAATTTAGCGTTTTAGCCGTTTTTCATTTCAAACCATACACTGATATCGAATAATGTTTGAAGTGATTTTATCCGAGAGGACTAGTACAGTAGAGTATAGGCATAATGGAATGGCGTTTATTCGAAAGTAATTTTATCACTTTCAGGTTTAAAAATTCCTGTAAACCTGTGACCTCCCCGTCCCCATTATACCCCGACCCCACTGTACTAACTTTTGTTTAATCACACTACTAAATTGATAAAGAGTATTATTGTTGTATCAAATGCCATATCCGTGTAATTACACTTTATTTCTTTGAACAAAAGTTACAATTAGTATTCCTTAATAAATAAATATAATAGTTGTTATTAACTAACTCATCCGATTTGTTTTTACGAGCTTGCGGCTTGATACAACATTTGTTTGCACATTTTGGTGTATATAGCACACAAGTCGCGGTGTGTAAATAAAGCGTCGACCCAAAAACAACATCACCATTTTATGTGGATTTACTTAAAAGTTAAAAAATATCGTTTTATTAGATACGCAAAACATAGGCGCGACATTGTCATTTGCCAGTTTTACATTTTTTACGATTGTACAAGTATATATAAAATAAAAAACAATAAACTCGTTTACTAATCTGCATCGAAAATGAAATTTTCATTTGATTTGTCGGCCATATACTTCTCGTATGTATTGGATTGGGCTGTGTTGTGTTGTGTTGCAAATTCCGTGGAGACAATGAGAGATCTGCTTTCGAGTTCCGGATGGCTTGAGATGAACGACCAGGACTACCCTCTTCGAATTATAGATCCGCGACGGTCGGACCAAACCGCATTATCCGTGGATCATTTGCTGGAGCCGTCGGTGACCAATAGAAACGTGGCCAATCAAATCCGACTAGCCCATCAGTACTTGAGCTGTTCGTACGCCAGAGTGCTGACGAACTTGTGCGACTACGAGAGAGCCATAGGGCCTCAGTGCAGGAAAATGGACACGGATTCGGAATCCTTCGAATGTCTAAAGAAGTACATACAGGTAATCCGGTATAAACACCCGATGGTTTGGCGCATGCTGGGCGCCCTTTCGTCCCTATACAAATTGTCACCCGCCCCAAAGGAAATACAAAATGATGTGTTTAACGATTTGGTAGAATTGGAATATTATTACCAGCATAAGACAATCGTCAAACGCACCGATGATGAAAGCAGGGCCATCGATCAGCACGCGAATGACATGGCCTATCGGTTTAACAAGTTTTACAGTAAATTTTGCCGGCCCATTTCATTTTATCAAACAGACTGTGACTGTTCAAAAGCTACTTACGACGTTAAGAGACTCTATGAAGATTACAAACACGACCAAGCTAGGGTCGTGGAAGAGATAGTAATAGAATTAGAAAAAATCATCAAAAAGTTTACGGAATCTCACGACGCTACATCTGGTTTTGAATACGATCCTGAATCCCGCACCACTCGTATAATAAGATACGATGCAAACACTCTTACACGGGTGGAGAAAATGAGCCAACTCCTAGAAAAAAGCCATTTTTGGGGCTCGTTCATAGGGCTGGAAATCATGGAACGCAGCAGTCCCTATCGGACATGCATTAACGATTTACTCAGGCCCGCCGGCGGCCCCGGCTCCACTGTAATAGTGACCAAAGAAAACGTGTACACCAAGCTCAAACGAGGGCATACATTTTTGAGCTGTAAATACGCTTCAATTTTGAACGAGTGTTGCAATCACGTCAAGAACATGTGGACTAATTGTCAGCAGCCAAATGATTCGAACTGTCTGGACAAATTTCTGCGAATATTAAACGATGCCGATTCGTCAGTGTATCGCATGACCGAAGCGTTGTCATATTTCCACAAATTGTCCCCGGAAACAATGTACAACAAAAGCGTTTTCCAATTGCTGTCACGTTTCAGAACCTTCTACTATTACAAAACCACAGAGATCGGCCGAAACGTGGGAAGCTGGACTCAGGCAATCGAAAAAGATATTTCGAAAATCGCACAAAACTCGTTCGACTTTTATAAAGAATTTTGTTATTGGGAGTGTGAGTTTGAGTTTGATACTTATGATTCCGAGAACCAAAATTACAGCACGATCGACGAAAAAGGAGAAATTTTTAAAGGGAGAATTCTCCAATTGACAAATTCGTTCGCTGTATGTGAATATACAGCGAGGAATATTTTTATTCCTAATGTATTTAAGACCTTATAAATCCATATAAATATACACCACCGAAATTGTAATAATAATGATTTTTTATTTACATTTTGGAAATATATTGTTATTAGAATAAAGCATCATTTTTTTTTTTTTTTTTGTAACGGTACTTACATTTAGCCAACAATTTAGCCGTTTTCCATTTTAAGCCATAAACTGATATAAAACAACGTCTAAACCATTCACTTTACTATACTATAAAGGTAAAACATATAAAATGTGTATTTCCAAATGTAACAGTGGTATCTCTATGAACAAAATCACATTAATTATCTTTTTTCACTGTGATTTTAAAATAATATCAGCTTTATGTATTTTGTCTATTATCATTAAGCTGGTCGTATGTAGGTGTACTAAGGGGGATGTTTGGCATTTTCGCCCCCCCCCCTCGTAGTCTTTACAATTTGATCTCTGAATAAGTAAATTTAACTTACATTCGTTGTATTTGCAATTTGAAACTGCCTAAACTATAAGCAATGACGTGGTGAAACGTATAACCAATGAGGTACTGGTCCATTTAAATTTGAGATTACAACCATCTTAATTAGGTGTAAGATCATTAAAATAACATTAGGTATGACCTGTACACGTCATTGGCAAGAAGAAATAACATGTCATAACAATAACAATTCGTAGGTATAATAAAAGCATCTACCATACTCGTAGATATCATATCCTATGTAATCAATGTATGTACTTTGTATGTTTAGACAGCTAGCGTAACTAGCAAAACTAGTAACATTCTATCTTGCTAAGAATATTATTGTAACATTTCCATGTTAATAATTAATATTCAATACCTATAATACCTAAGTCATACAAATTTGTAAGAATGTATAAAATGATAACCCAGTTATTTTTTTTAAATCAAATATGTTTTGTTCCTATAAACCTTTTTTCATTTACCATTTGTTCAATAATTTATTGAATCAATTGTTTGTTGGAACACGTCATGTATTTTGGAACAAACTTATTCGGAAAAAATTATCGTGGGCCAAATGTACATTGGAACAGTTACAATTTGGACAAACGTCCGTTGGCATAAATGATTAGCGGGAAAAAAGACAATTAGAACAAATTTACATTGGAACAAGCCATAATCTTTGATAATAATGTCCTTGGAATAATGGCTCATAGAATAAAAAGTTTGTGGAACAAATATAGGGTGAGAGAACCTAAATAAAGTTATCGTTACCTTAAAAAGTAAAAAAAATTACCTACGATTATTATTTAGTCAATAATAGAGAATATGATGCGTAACTATGTTTTGATGAAAAAAAAAAGTTAATTGCTTAAGTTAAATGGATGTTTTGATAGTCTGGAAAAATAAATTAACAACCAAAAAAAAAAAGTCCTAAATATTGAGCTAATAATAATTATCCGTGTAATATTATGTAAATTATTACACTTCACAATTTAATCTTCAAATTAAGATCTTGCAAAAAATTTCCTATACATAACACCTTAACAAAAATGGTGTATGACGTTTGCAAAAAAAAAACCCAATATACGTTAAAACAACAACTGTTGCCATCAAATATCGTATCTGAGTCACGCTTGCAACCTTGCCGCTCTATACCACATTTTTGTTTGTTTGTAGTACGTGTATATTGTACAAAAAACAAGTTGTTTAAACAAAACGCAAACCGAGGAAACATCGCCTCCCGTACCGTGCGAAATTACTTTAACGGCGACAAACGACAAATATTCATTAGATAAGCCACACGAATATTGCCATTTTCAAATTTGTAATATTTTACCTCAATATACTAGTACATAAAAAAAACCGGTAAATTCGTTTCCTAATCTGCATCTAAAATGAAGTATTTATTCGATTTCTCGGTCATATACATCTCGTATGTTTTGGTTTGTGTTGTTTTGTGTTGTGTTGCAAACCCCGTTGACACAATGAGAGATCTGCTGTCGAGTTCCGGTTGGCTCGTGATGGACACCCCGGACGACCGTCTCCGCATTATAGACCCACGAAGGATGGACCAAATCGAAATATCCGTGAGACATTTGGTGGAGCCACCGGTGACCGAAGGAAACATTGCCGAAAAAATCCGACTAGCCCATCAGTTCTTGAGCTGTTCATTCGCCAAAGTGCTGACCGAATTGTGTGACTACGAGAGAGGCATAGGGCCTCAGTGCAGGAAAATGGACACGGGTTCAGAATCTTTCGAATGTGTAGAGAATTATCTGCAGGTAATCCGATATAAACACACGTTGGTTTTACGAATGACTGGCGCCCTTTCGTCCTTATTCGATTTGTCGCCGTCCCGAACGGATATAAAAAATGATGTGTTTGAAATTTTAGTAGATTTGCAGAATTATTACCGGCATAAGACCGTCGTAAGACCTCCCAAAGACGACGACCAGACTACCCGGGAAATCGCCGACGCCGAAAGCACCGACGTCGATCAGCACGCAAACGACATGTCCAACCGGTTGAACGAGTTCTTCAGTAGGTTTTGCCGGCCCATTTCTTTTTATCAAAAAGACAAGGGCTGTTCATATGCTACGTATAACATTCGGCGGTTAGCCGAACATTACCACAACGACATTGCTAGAGTTTTGCATGAGATAAAAAGAACATTAAAAAGAATCTTCGAACAGTTTACGGAATCGCACGACAATAATTCTGGGTTTGAATACGATCCCGAATCGAACACCACTCGTATAATAACATACGATCCGAACACGGATACGGTACGGGTAGACAAAATGAATCAACTGCTGAAAAATCCCAAATGGAAATCGTTAGCACCATTGGAAATCAAAGAACGCGGCTGTCCCTATCGGACGGACATTGACGTTTTGCTCAGGCCCGCCAGAGGCCTCGACGGCGTTCTTATAGTCACCAAAGAAAACGTTTACGCCAAACTCAAACGAGCGCATCAGTTTTTAAGCTGTAAGTACGCTTCGATTTTGAAAGAGTGTTGCGATCACGTCACTGATATATGGATTAATTGTCAGGAATCGAAGGATTCGGTCTTTTCGAGGAAATTCCTTAAAATATTAAACGAGGCCGATCCGTCGGTGATGCGCATGATTGATGCGTTGTCCTATTTTTACAAATTGTCTCCGGAAACCGTGTACAACAAAGACGTTTTCGACTTGCTGAAACGTTTCAGGAGCTTCTACGATTACAGAACCACACGTATCGGCCGAACCGTGATGAGTTGGTCTCCAGAAATCGAAAAAGATATTTCGGAATTCGCACAATCCTCGCAAACATTTTATGAACAATTTTGCTACCCGCAGGATGAGTTTGATACTTACGTTTCTGACGATGAAAATAGCAACACGATCGACATCAAAGGAAAAATGTTCAAAAATAGAATTCTCGGTTTAACAAATTCTTACGCTGTATTTAGGTATAAACAAATTCGTAATGTATTTCAGGACTAATAAGTCCATGTATACAGAATGTCCCACAAAGACCTGACAAATGAAAATACCTTTATTCTAGTGAATATTTTTAAGATTTTTTTTTTTTAATTTAATTAATTCTCATTTAAGCTATAACCACGACGGTTTGTATACAAACAATATTTGTTTAAAATTTATATTTATACCTTAATAAAATTAAAACTAAGATAACATTTTTTTTTTTGGAAAACTGATGCTCGCAGCCGCTAAAAATAATTTGAAAAATTATTATACAAAAATACATTTATATTTTTGGACGTCAGTCTTAAGCCATAATCTGAAAAATGGCGTTTAAACCAAATGGATTGTATAAAGGGAAAACATAAAAAAATAATACTTTACCAAATTTAAAATTCATCCATTTTCACGGCAATACGGCGAAAAAATTTAATAGTCGATAAGAAAACTATAAACTTCATTTAGTAGAAATCTGAAATAAGAAAAAATAATAGAAAAGTTCCCAAAACGATGGCTAGCCAAAAACCAAAAATTGTGTAAAAAGCTTAATAAAATAATTTCATTAAATTACGTTTAATCGATAAACAATACGACTTGATATATTTAAAACTTGAATTAAAAACTTGATCACAGACCACCCTAAATACAAAAAATACAGCATGATATTCAATCATGATTGGTCATTTATTTACAAAAAGTAGGTAAAACAGATTTTGTGAAAGTCTGCTAAACTTTCTATAGATAAATTTAAAATAAAATATTTTCTCTGAAAACAATTAATACTTGGTTGTTTTTATTCAATATATTAAGTAAATTATTACACATTAAAGTTGAAATAGATAGTAGATAACAACTATTGTCATGAACTATCATATCCGAATCACGCTAATAAGCTTTTTGCTCGAATAGACATTTTTTTTTGGTTTGCAGTAGTTGCGTATCGAACACAAGTCGCGTTGTGTAAATGAAACGCCTATCTAGAAAACGTCATCTTTTTGAGCGAAATTACTTTAAAGATGACAAATATCGTTTTATTACTTACGGGACACGAAAACGCCACATTGCCTTTTGCCAATTTCTAAATTTTTTTACCATTGTACACGTATACATAAAAAAAAAAACACGGTGAATTCCTTTACTAAGCCGCATCGAAAATGAAGTTATTATTCGATTTGTCGACCATATACTTCTCGTATGTGTTAAGTTATGTTGTTTTGTGTTGTACTGCAAACCCCGCGGACACGATGAAAGGGCTGCTGACGTGTTCCGGATGGCTCAAGATGGACACCCCGGACCACCCTGTCCGCATTGTAGACCCACGTCGAACGGACCTAACCGAATTATCCGTGAACCAATGGCTGAAGGCGTCGGTGACCGACGAAAACGCGGCCGACCATATCCTAATAGCCCATCAGTTCTTGAGCTGTTCGTACGCCAGTGTGCTGACCGAATTGTACGACTACGAGGGAGGTATGGGGCCTCAGTGCAGGAGAATGGACACGGCTTCGGTAATGTTTGACTGTCTAGAGGATTACCTGCGTGTAATTAATTATAAACACGGGTTAGTTTCGCGCATGGCCGGGGCCCTTTCGTCACTGTACGATTTGTCGTCCTCCCAAACGGAAATCAAAAATCAAGTGCATGACGCTTTAGTTGAATCGCAAAATTATTACCTGCATAAGACCGTCGTCAGACCGACCGATCACGATGACCGGACTACCCGCGAAATCGCCGACTTCGAAAGCAAGGATGTCGAACAGCACGCGTACGACATGTCCAACCGGATGAACGAGTTCTACAGCAACTTTTGCCGGCCCATTATCGTTAATACACCAGACAGGGACTTTTCTAAAGCTACGTACAACGTTCGGAGGTTGGCCAGACGTTACGGCAGTGCTTACGTTGTTCATAAGATTAAAGAAGAATTGAAAACAATCATCAAGGCGTTTACGGAATCGCACGACCATACCTCTGGGTTTGAACACGATCCCGAATTTAACACGACTCGTATAATAACATACGATCCCAACACTAAGGCGCAAGTGGCTAAAATGAACCGACACCTAGTGAATCATAAAGCCAAATGGATCGAGTTAAAACCGCTGGTAATCATAGAACGCGGCTGTCCCTATCAGACGACCATTGACGACTTACTCCGGCCTGTCGGCGACGCAATTATAGTCACCAACGAAAACTTGTACGCCAAGCTTAAACGAGCCCATCAATTTTTAAGCTGTAAGTACGCTCGGATTTTGAAAGAGTGTTGTGAACACGTCGCTAGCATGTGGACGAATTGTCAGGAATCCAATGACTCTGGCTGTTTGGACAAATTTCTGCAAATATTAAACAATTCCGATTCGGCGGTGTTTCGCATGGTCGATGCGTTGTCATATTATCATAAATTGTCGCCACATACCGTGTACAACATAGGCGTTTTCGAGTTGCTGGAACGTTTCAGAGGCTTTTACCAAGATAGATTTGCACGAAACGACCGAAACGTGATGAGTTGGTCTCCGGTTATCGAAAATGATATTTCGGAAATTTCAAAATCCTCGGACAAGTTTTATCAACAGTTTTGCTACGCGGTGAGTGAGTTTGATACTTATGATATTTCTAAGCAATCGGGCAACACGATCGATGTCAAAGGAGAATTTTTCATAAGAAGAATTGGCTTAATAACACATTTTCATGCTTTATTTAAGGATAAAACGGATTCTTAATGTATTTCAGAGCTTAAAAATCTGTACACGTTTATATACATGACCGAAATTGTTATAATAATAATCTGTATATTTACATTTTAAAAATATATTGCTGTTTAAAAAAAACTCAATTATTTTATTGCTACGGTACCTATATTTATTTTTTTAGTAAAATAAAGTTTAAACCGATCTAATTGTAAAAGCAAAATTGGGATATTCAGATTGGTAAATTAGATTTTTTTAAAAATTTAAACAGTAAACTGTTAAACTTTTTATAAATCAATTTAACGTAGCCGTTATTTTTTGTTTGAAAATTATGAATATTTTGTAGTTTTTATTTTTACTCAAAGCCATAATATATCGTCTATAGAATTATTTTATTGTTTAGTCAATAATAGAGTATACACATACTCATCAATAATGATCATACTGATTCGATAACTATTAGTATCGAAAAGTAATTGTTCAAAATCAAAATTTTTGTTTATAATAAAGAACACCAAACAATGACTTTAACGCTATTAAAGTAGATTTTAAAGACTATTACGGATAACATCACTTTCAAATAAACCCATCGATGCCTTTCTGTGGACACACCTCACTTGAATACCTACTTTCTTAATGTGCTGGTCTATATCGTGCTTGATTTGGACTTACTATCCAAAGATTCGCATCGAAGCATTTATTGAAAAGTGATTTTACCACTTTTAGTTATAAATCATTTTTTGTAGACCTATTACCTCCTCATCCCACTTTGCCCCGACTCCACTGTACTGGAATTTTTACAGTATTATAAGCCGATGAGTTTATATTATTCTTGGACCAGAAGTGCTGGATCTTGGAAGTTTAATAATTCATAATAAATGTTAATTAAATAATGGGGTACATTTTAACATGTATATATAATCGCAGTCTATCTACTTATACGTGGTTTTTGGTAATTGATTTGTACTGCGCATATATTATTTCCTTCAACGGATAACAATATTACCTATCTAACTAGGCGTGTAGCCAACGCATTAATTTGCTATAGAAAAATATATACATTCCATATATTTGAAAATGTTTTTTCTATACAATATATATGGCGTCATATAAAAGCTGCAAAAATGTAATTCAGACAATGAGAAATACAAAATATAGCTTTAGCAGCAACGCCAAAAAAAAATATTATTCTGTAAAAGAATAGGTATTATTCATATTATATCTTTTAAGACTTCTAAGAAACACTTGTTTTTATATAGTTCAAAACGCCACAAAAAATATCATATACATTATCAGCGCTCACAACATACCGAGGTATTTTAAAACTCGTTTTGCTTAACTTGCTGAAGTATTGTTTGTACATATGTTTATGTTCGTGCGTATAAAACCTATGAATCGTGATGTACTTTGAAAAATTGCAAAATGGAAAATATTGCACAAAACAATAATCTCATAAATAATTATGAACAATTTGTTTCTTTAATTCTAAATTTTAAGTCGTTCTTAAATTAACTACATACATATACGTCGTTTTTGGTAGTTTATTTGTACTGCAGCGGATAACAATATTACCTAACTAACTAGGCGTATACCCAAGGTTTAATCCAAACAATTAATATTATCAAAGGGGATACGACTATATCTCGATTGTAATAAGGAATGAATGACTTGTTAGTAACTCACAAAATGTATTTTAATGTTTGATCAGACCATGGCTTAAATTGGCAACGAATTTTTTTATTATTTTATTTCTTTACAATATTCGAAGATTTTACAAAAGTAATTATCTTTTTTTTTTTGTAATTTTAATAGCTATATTAACATTGCAAACTTAAATGGTAACGTTTATATTTTGTTGGCAATTTCAATTCATGGGTGTTTTTGACTGAACGACAACTGGATTTTGGATAATTTTTTCTAGGGTTATTACATCATTTAAAGTTTAAACTAGAATATTTTTCCGCACTACGTCACCCACCTTAACTCCGAACACTAATAACAGCTATAATAGACAAAGATTTAATTTTAAAAAAAATTTAGTATATGCATAGTCATGTTTTTGATGAAAACAAATTTTAGTTGCCGTCAAGAGTGCCGTGAAAGTATCAATTAACTACAAAAAAAGAGTATTAAAAAACTATTAATTATTAGTGGAATATCGCAACTTTGGTGAAAGACTGTCACAACTCAAAATTTGGGATTTTTTAGTTAAGGCTTCAAGTCTACTGCTATAATTTTAATTCCACAAAACGGTCTACCGCTACCAAGTAGTAACCCAACCAACACAAATGAAACAAAATATTTAATACAAACACTTAACCTCAAAAAATAATTCTGCGTACCGCGTATTTTAGCAGCAATAGCGCTCACAACAAATGAGTGAACAGATTTATTTACAAGAAGTAGGTAAAACAGATTTTTTGAAAAGTCTGCTAAACTTTCTATATAGATAAATTTAAAG